CAAACTCCCTGGGTAAGGGAGTTCCTCTTCTATGAATTGTTCTGCCTGGCATGTGGAAGGGTCATGACACATGAGTCACAAATAACTAAGTAAATCCTCTTTCTCCCCCTCCACCCTGTCCCAGTGAAATTTTCCCCCAGAAACTCTCAGTTACTCAGATTGTCTGACATCTTTTTTTTTTTAAAGATTTTATTTATTTATTTGACAGAGAGAGATCACAAGCAGGCAGAGAGGCAGGCAGAGAGAGAAGAGGAAGCAGGCTCCCTGCTGAGCAGAGAGCCCGATGCGGGGCTCGATCCCAGGACTCTGAGATCATGACCTGAGCCGAAGGCAGCGGCTTAACCCACTGAGCCACCCAGGCGCCCCAGATTGTCTGACATCTTATTAGAGATCCAAGAAGTCTTTTATTTCACCCTTAGAAATCATCTCTGATGCTTATGGTTAATGGAAACAGCAACCTGCTGGGGGTCCCTCAGCCTCCAGGTGGTGGCGTCTTCTTGTTTAAATACATAAGGGCATAAGGAATAATTACTTTTGAATGTTTGGTGGGCCTCTCCAGTGCAACCTTCTGGATGGGGAATTTTCTTTATCTTTCTTTTTTCTTTTGCTTTTAAGTAATCTCTATACCCAACATGGGGCTCAAACTCACAGCCTGGAGATCAAAAGTTGCATGCTCTACCAACTGAGCCAGCCAGGCACCCCTTGAAATAATAACTTAAAAAAAGAGAGATTTATTTATTTATTCTAGAGAGCATGTGTGTGCATGTGTGTGTGAATGGGAGTAGAGGGGGAGAGAGAGACTCTTCACGCAGACTGCTGAGTTCAGAGCTTGACGGGCTCCTCCCCATGACCCATGAGATCACGACCTGAGCCCAAACCAAGAGTCAGACACTTAACCGATAGAGCCACCCAAGCACTCCTGGAATAATAACTTAAAAAAAAAAAAAGTAACGTTTATTACTATGAGCCAAACACTATTGGAGGCGCTATCCATCTATATTATCCCATTCATGTCTCACAGTTGCCCTGGGGGTCAGTTCTGCTGTTGTTCCTCTTTACAGATGAGGAAATGGAAGCTCAGAGAGGTTGGGTAACTTGCCCAAGGACACATATCTACAAGGGATGGAACCGGGAGCCAAACTCAGGAGCTTTGGTTCCCAAGTCCTGCCCCTCAGCCACACAGCCAGGTAGCAGGAACAAAAGTTCTGAGATCCCACCCAGAGCCAAGGACCAGGTTTCTTATTGGCCCACAATAATGGGCATACACTGCTCTCCATCTGCTGGGTTTCAGCCACTCTGTTCCACTGAACCCTCCTTCGTCCCTCCCATGGCCCTCAGCCTCACAACTTCTGCCTTCTCTCTTGTGGTCCTGTGACTTCTGCTGCCTCTCCTTGCCAACTATTAATCCCTCCCAGTGCCTCCAGGTCAGACTCTCAACACAGAGGCTCTGATGTGCTTCTGTTGGGCAAAACTCTCATGTCAGGCCCCTCCAAATGCTGCTGGCCGACCCCATAACAGGCTGCTCCTGGCTCATGGGCCATCCTGGTCCAACTGGATGTTGCCAAGAGGTTAGGGACGTCTGATGTTCCTCAGAAGGGTCTGAAAGTCCAGTTGGGTCTCAGAGCCTAAGAAACTTTTAAAACTTCAACTCAAAAAGGACTTAAAAGGCAGGTATTAGGGGCACCTGGGTGGCTCAGTGGGTTAAAGCCTCTGCCTTCGGCTCAGGTCATGATCCCAGGGTCCTGGGATTGAGCCCCACATCGGGCTCTCTGCTCCGCGGGGAGCCTGCTTCCCCCTCTCCCTTTGCCTCTCTGCCTACTTGTGATCTCTGTCAAATAAATAAATAAAATATTATATATTTTTTTAAAAAGGGCAGGTATTAGAAGAGTGTCATGGACATGGATGTTTTTGCCTTCCTGTCTCAGGTTGGGCTGCCCTAACGAGATACCATAGACTGGGGGCCTTAAACGACATACACTGATTGTTCTCACAGTCTTGGAGGCTGGGAAGTCCATAGTAAAGGTGTTAGCCAATTCTGTTTCTGTTGAGAGCTCTTTTCCTAGCTTGCAGATAGCAGCCTTCTTGCTGTGTTTTCCCATGGCAGAGAGGGAGGGAAAGAACTCTCTGGTGTCTCTAATAAGGTCACTAACGCCATGTGTACTAATCCCCTTATGACCTCATCCAACCCTAATTACATCTCTAAGGCCCCATCTCCAAATACCAAAACACTGGAGGTTAGCACTTCAGTGTATGAATTTGTGGGGGCTGCCTTCAGTGTATAACACTGCCTAATATTCATTCCCCTTTGTGGGACCTGCACCCTGATTTTCCTCTTGGGAACCCCCCCTCCCCTCCCCCACTCAGTTCCTGTGGTCCTAGAGAACCACCCACATGCAGCTCCTTGGGTAGGTAGAAATTGCCCTGTCCAATGAACGTATCTACCCCCTGGATATAATAATCATTATATTTAAAATCATTATATTTAAGAGAACCATGACCTATATTTGGACCAATCAGAGAGCCTGCTATAGGTTGAATTATGCCACTCCCCCAAATTCATATGTTGAAATCCTAGCCCTTGATGTGACTGTATTTGGAGATGGGGCCTTATGAGAGATAGTTGAGGTTAAATGAGATCACAAGGGTGGGGCCCTAATCCCAAAGGATTGGTGTCCTTATAAGAAGAGGTAGATACCCCAGACCTCCCCCCAACCCAACTCTTTGTCTCTCACCCCCAGTCCCTATGCACAGAGGGGTAAGGACATGTGAGGACCCAGTGAGAGGGGTTAGTGTCTATGATCCAGGAAGAGAGGCCTCGCCGGAAATCAGCTCTGATGGCCCCTCGACCTTAGACTTCCTGCCTCCAGAACCATAAGAACAGAAGTCCTGAGCATACCTGATTTGAAGTCCTGGTTCTGCCTGTGCCTGAACTAGGTCTCATGTCTGCATACCGCACTTACACAAGCCAATTAATTCTTTTTGCCTGAGTTTGGTTTCTGCCACTTGCAACCAAAAGCACTGTGACTGATACAGAGTCAGCTCTCATTTTATTATGTTCTTTCAGTATATCTGACCAGAGAGGTCATCATAATTACATTGGTGTAAATGAGCTGTTGTCAGACAGTGACACAATAATTGAAGCCTTGGAACCTACACTCCCTCGGGGCAGGTGAACAGAGAAGAACTTGGGAATTCTTGAATTCTCACCAGCTCCTTGGAGATCGTGCGTCTGTTTGGCTTTCTCCCAGAGTGTGAAATCTTTAAGTGGGGTTAGGGAGTCCTCTGCCTAAGCCCTTGCTCCTCCAAGGGACAGCCCTTCCCACCAAGAGGCATCACACCAGCGTAGAAATCTCCATATTCGTGGTAGCAGGTCCGATCTATGGAGTCTTTTCTTGCACACCAGGCTGGCACATTGGCCAAGCACCTTGCTCAAGTTTCTTTTTTTTTTTAAGATTTTATTTATTTATTCGACAGAGATCACAAGTAGGCAGAGAGAGAGGGGGAAGCAGGCTCCCCGCTGAGTAGAGAGCAGAGAGCCCAGTGCACGGCTCCATCCCAGGACCCTGAGATCATGACCTGAGCCAAAGGCAGAGGCTTAACCCACTGAGCCACCAAAGTGCCCCTGATGGCAGTCTTCTAATTGGACAGCACGGGCATCCTGTAATTTCTGAGAGGCAGATTTTTTTGGTGATTTACAAATGAAGTTAGAAGTTTGGCCACAAGGAACACTCTGCTCAAAGGGAACACTGATAACATATCTGCCGGTGGTAGCCCCCGTTGGGCCTGTCTTCATTCAGAAAATAACCCAGAGGGGCTCAGTTCATGATCTCAGAGTCCTGAGATGGAGAGCCTTGTGTCGGGCTCTACACTCAGTGTGGAGTCTGCTTGTCCCTCTCCCTGTTCCTCCCCCTGTTCTAGCTCTCTCAAATAAATAAATAAAATCTTAAAAATAATAACCCAGAAGGGAAACAACCCAGTATGCTTCACAGCATCTTCTTCTTTTTTCTTTAAATTTTATTTATTTATTTGACAGAGACCACAAGTAGGCAGAGAGAGGCAGGCAGAGGCTCGCTGCTGAGCAGAGAGCCTTTTGTGGGCCTAGATCCCAGGACCCTGAGATCATGACCTGAGCTGAAGGCAGAAGCTTTAACCCACTGAGCCACCCAGGCGCCCCTGTTTCACAGCTTCTAATGAAAGTAAACGTAGGCTCACCTTGTGACCCAGTAAGTCCGCTCACAGGTATTTACCTCAGAGAAATGAGAGCTTACCTCCACCAAAACGAACAAAACTTTCCAGAATGTTCACCACAGCTTTATTAGGTACAACAGGAAGATCTCAAATGCAGTGTTGAGTTAAAGCAGCCAGACACAAATGAGACTACTCGGTACTATTCCAAGTATAGCAAGTCCAGAAACAGGCAAAACAAATCTATAATGACAGAAAGCAGAATAGTGTGGTTGCCTCAGGCTTGGGGGCCAGGGGTGCCATGAGGGAAGGGAGATTGGGAAGAAGCACAAGGGATCTTTGGGGGGTATTGGCACGTTCTATTGATCTGGTGATGGTTACACAGGTGTGCATGTAAAGGGAAAGTAATGGAGCTGAACCCGGAGGGTTTGCGCACTTCCAGTGGGTGTAAGTTACACTTGAGTCAAGGCCTCTTCAACAAGTCCGCAGCCACGCCCACACAAACCCCCGGAGGCCCAGACCCAGCTGCGGCCGGGCCCTGCCCGCTCCCTCCAGGCTAGCTTCCGCGCCTCCGCGACGGCACGGAGGCCGCGCTCTCCCGGGAAAGCGCCGGCCCACCCCCTGTCCGATTGTGTCCCGCTCAGGCGGACCGCGGTCTCCCGCGCGGGTCCCGGACGCGTGCGCCCCGCCCCCACCGGCGCCCCGCGACCGCACGCCCGGGCCCGCTCCGCCCCGGCCCCGCCCCCAGCCCGCCCCGCCCCGGCCCGCCCCGCCCCGCTTATCTGGCCGGTCGGCGGTGGCCCGGGAGGCGGCGGGCCGGAGGGCAGGGGCCGCGCGATGTCGCACGGAGCCGGGCTCGTCCGCACCACGTGCAGCAGCGGCGGCGGCCCGGGGGCAGGCGCGGGACAGCTGAGCGCGAGGCCCTCGGAGGGGCTGCTGGACCCCGTCTACCCCCGCACGTACTCGGCCCTGCTGAAGGTGGCGCAGATGGTAAGAGAGGCCGGGGCGCGGGGCCGGGGTCTCGCGGAGAGGCGGGGCAGGAAGGGGAGCAGGGCGGTGGCGCGCGGGGCGGCTGGAGCCGGGCGGAGCCCGCCGGAGCATCGCGCGGCTGGCGGGGCGGGGCACGGCGCCGCCACAGTCAAGTTCGGGGAGGGCTTCCTTCGGAAAGTTGGGTGCGCTGCCCCGGCCCTGGAACTCAGCCGCGACGCCGCCCTCGCTCCCGCAGACGCAGGTCTACAGGGCCCCAGGCTTTTTTCCAGCCAGCCCTCTGCGGGCCCGGCCCGCTTTCCGACAGAAAGCGCAGGCAAAAGTTGCTTTTCCTCTTCCTTCCTCTTCTCTGGGCCGCGCCGCTTCGAACCCGAGCCGGGGGTGTTAGAGTCGCCAGGCGGGGCGCTGAGGCGGCGAAACCCGTCCTTCTCCCCCTCGAGGCCTCCTCTTTCCTCCCAACCGAAGAGAGCAGGGTTGCCCTGCTCTGGGCGCAGTTTCGCAGAGGAGAGGAAGTCCGAAGTTCTCAGTTCCCTGGTGGGGAAACGGAATGGGGATCCTCGGAGACAGCCGTCCTAGAACCCCCCGACCTCTCAAGTTCAAGGGAGGGTCTGGGTCTTAGGGGGCCGCTGGAAGGCGGAGGATCGATGGGGAAGCTCCGTTTTGAGGAGCCTGTGCACTAGTCCCCCTGCTAACTGTAGGGAGTATCCAACCCTGTATTTACTGTTTTTTCCTGTATATACATACTTATGATAAAGTTTAATTTATCAGTTAGGCATAATAGGAGATTAACAATGACTAATAATAAAATAGAACAATTATAACTATATGCTGGAATAAAAAGTTTGTAAATGTGGTCTCTCACTCTCAAAATGCCTTTTTGTACGAACTCACTCTTCTTGTGCTGATGTGAGATGAAAAAATGCCTGACGGATGAGATAAAGCATTAGGCTGCTATTGATCTTCTGACGAATCAGCAGAGCAGAGGGTCATCTGCTTCTGCTTTATGGTTGACTGTGGGTAATTTAGCAAAACTGCGGATGGGCAGTGCTGGGGAGTCCTCATTTGGGAGAGCCAGAGTCACCCGAATGGGCAGTAACCTATGAAGCCTGGCAGGCTGCAGGTCTGAGCCCTGAGTAGGAGGAGCGCAGTGCAGGTGGTGGCCTCCACCAAGGCTGATGTCATCTGGCCTGTTCTCTTGTTCCCCACTCTTCTTTTTCCCCATTTTTTTTCTTCTTTAAACACATTTTCATCTTAAACAACTTTCCCATTCGTCTGATGTGTATTGTGAAACTAGGTTGGGCTCTTGGTGAGTCCACTCATTGTAATGTTTGCAGCAAGAATAGTGGCGGGGGAAGTGGTAGCTTTGAAGAGGCATATGGAGAAAAGAAGGTGGACATAGGGACAAGGTTACGCAGCCAGAAGCCGGTGTTTCCTACAGCGGGCCAGTCCCAGGATGCTGGACACTGTGAGAGCTTGCCTGTGAATCCACCGCACTTTGTTCTGGTGTGTGTAAAGGGGGCTCTCATTTCCTGCTCAGGCCACATCTGAAGGGAGGGGTGCCGAGTTCTCTTTTCTCTAAGAAGGGTGTCTAGATGGACCAAAAATTAGGAAGTGTTAGCTATGAACAACAACACATTGTGCTGAGGAGTGTTGGTTTTGAGCCGGGCATTTTTGGACTCACATTAAGACTGCTGATCAGCCAAATAGAGGGGACCAGCCTACCTCTTCATCCTTAAAAGGTGAGCGGGAATGAGACAGACCCTGATGGAGACTGGAAGACATGTCATGAATCAAATAATGAGTTCTGTGGAAAATTAGTACCAGAAGGACCACTTCTTCTGGTCCATGAGTTTCATGGACAAAGGTCATGGGTTTAAGAAGGCTCCATATTGGTCCATGAGTTTGGTGGGTAAGGTTTGTGGAAAAGAGAAAGCTCCATTTTATTGAAAGTTCCTCAACTATCCTCTTTGCCTGTGCCCCTTATGCTGGGTTGCAGGTGACAGTCACAGGGCCTGTTGTTCCATAGAAGGGAAAAAAGACCTAGAGAACAGCTTCTCCATTGTACCCCTTAAAACCGTCTTCACAGGATTCTAATGCCTTCTTCCTTCCCTGAGGAGGCCCCTGTGATTGCAGACTGGTTTGAGCTGACCCCTTGGAAGTGAACTTGTCCTTGCAGGGTGGTCACAGAGAGAGACTCTTCAGAGTTGTCTACTGGGCCTCTTGTCTAACTCTTCCCATTCTCCTCCTCTTCCTCTTCTCTTGGGGCCTGCATGGACATTTGATATTCTTTCATCTTTTTGCCAGAAACATGTGCATAGCCAGGAGTGAACCACATTGGGGAAGGGCAGATGCAGCTAAAATGGTGCCACCAGTGGGCACTCTATCCATGGGTCTCTGATTTAGACCACTGACATCTCATTTGCATCCTGAAAAGGCTGACCTGAATGTCCTAGACTTCCCATCAAGTGTTTTCCTCCTGGTCTAATCAGCAGACCTGTCAGTATATTACCTTAAGAAATCATTGAAAAGGCTGTTCCCTTTGAGAACAACTTCCTTTCTTTGCTTTGCATCTCTCCTGGGTCCACCAGTACCAGAAAATGAGGAGAGATAACGGAAAGAAAGTGAGTTTCTTAGTGAATGTTAGTACTTGTCACTTTAATGAATCTTTATAATCTTGTGGCTTCAGTAGTTTAGTTTCTTGGGTCTCCCTCTTTAGCCAAGAGACTGTCACACTTGGTGACCCTAAAGGAGCGGGTTTCTTTGTTGTTGATAATAGCTCTGTTTTTTGAACCCTATCATTGTTCTTTGTAAGGCACTAGGGAGGCATGCCTGGGTCGCTCAGTCGGTTAGGCGTCTGCCTTTGGCTAACCCTAATCCTAACCTGAGCGGAAGGCAGACGCCTAAACCAACAGAGCCACCCAGGCACCCCAAAAGACTACATATTCTATGATTCCACTAATTAATATGGGATGTCCAGAACAGGTAAATTTCTAGAGACAGAAAGTCGGGTAGTGGTTGCTCAGGGCTGAGGAGTTTGGGAGCAATGGGGAGTGGCTGCTAAGAGGGAGGTGGTTTCTTTTCGAATGAGGAAAATATTTTAAAATGGATTTTGGTGATGGTTGCACAACCCTGTGAATATACTAAAAACCATTGGTTTGTACACTTTAAATGTGTGAATTGTATCTCCGTAAAGCTGCTAAAAGGAAATCTAGGGAAGAGTTCAGAGGGGGAACTCTGCGTGATGGGAGTGGGAGCGCCGCAACACAGGAAACTCCCCGGCCATCCTCCCCATCCACTACTAGACAGAGGAATGTCCCCTGCAGACCTCACAGAATCTGAGCCCGAGGGGGGTGTCCTGAGGTCCTGAGGGGTCCAGATGGCCCTGTGTGTGACCTCGCCAGCATTCCTCATCGGTGCAGTTGTTCAGCAGACACTTATGAGTGCCATGTTCATCTTCATTTCTGCGGGAGCAGGGGGCTGTGACAAAGCCCTTACCCTCAGGAAGTCTGTGGTTTCACCGAGAAGACAGACGAGTCCCAAAATTGACTGGTGGTGAGGTTAAAAAAAGAGTCTGGTTGCCTGCACTAGGGAAGGAAGGAGAGAGGCTTGAAACCTTCAAGAAGGTCACATCTGAGTTGAAACTTGAGAGCTGAGTACAGGTTGTGGTGAGGTTGGGAGTGCACCCTTACCTCTGGAATGTCTTTATTCAGTATGTTTAAGTTGGAGATGAGGGATGGTTTGGGGGTGTTGGAGGGGAAGAGAATACAGCAGGCAGGAGGAAGTACTTGGGCAGTCCTGACATCTAGAAGGAGGCATCATCTCATTTCCTGGGTACCTGCTGTGTTCTCATGTGAGGCACGTGGAAGACAGACCCTTTCTGTGTGTGCAGAGAAACAGAGGCTATGACATTTGCAGAACCATATGAAAGAAAAATCAGAGTGTGGTTTCACAAGCAGCAAAGATGGAAACTTATATGTCCTCCAGAAGTTTCATTTATTTACTCAGCAAATATTTGAGCACCTGTTGTATGCTAGAACACGCTGAAAAGATGAGTTTAGGCAGATCAGTCAAATAGGGGAGATAAACATTAATAAAATGATTATAGATCTGTAACTGTAAACTGGGACAGGAGCTCGGAAAAAGAGGTATTAAGTGTCATAGAGAATTAAATGGAGAGTCTGACCTGTCTGGGTGGTGAGGAAGGGCTTTTCTAAAGAAGGGATATTATATTAGAAGAATGAGGGAACAGCATTTCCTGAAGAAGGAGAAACACAGACAGTGACTCTGCAAGTCTGGAAGAAGGAGTATTGCTGTGGTTGGAGGGGAGGGGACAGAGGTGGAAGTGGTTTGGGTGAGACTGGAGAAAAATGCAAGGGCCAGACCCTTGGGGCCTGCAAGATCACCTCGAGGGTATGGTCCTTCATCTAAGAATACCCGGGAAGCATCCTGTCACCATCCACCCAAGTGGTGGTTTTCAAACCAGGGCTGTACCGCCCCCTAGAGTTTATTTTGGAACTTTATGGAAACTTTTGGTTGTGGAATGGTTTAGGATCATATTATATATATACATTTTATTAATTTTAGGATAATAATGAGAGCATTGCCAATATTTAGTATCCTAAAGAGATGTTTTATCTGGAAGAAGCTTAAAGGAGCCTACGCAGGCTGGGTGGAAGCTGAGTGGGGTTGTGAGTCAGGGGAGGGTACACTCAGTTTTCTGGCACAAGAGAGCATTCTAAATACCCTCCAGCAGGCCAGGGCGATTATGAGCTTCACTCTGAAAATTCACAGCCCATTTCCCAAACAGAATTGGACTGTGGGGGAGCCCAGCCTCTGGTGTAGCTGGGAATGGACTTATGCATGGAGAATGACCCAGCATAACCCAGAATGGTCCACCCCTCTTTGTTCTGCTTTATGTCTCTGTAGCAGGGCAGCACCAGCTGGGTTCCCAAATGCAGTCTGCACACCCCTGTCCTATTTCCTGGAAGGCAGAGGGTTAAAGG